TCTGCAGGATGTCACATGTAAGGATCAGTACGTCAGACTGCTGTGTGAGCATGTAAGTTACAATTGGATTTTTGTATAAGACTGTGTACTGTAAGATTTGCATATGGACTACCTTCTGATCACAAAGCTAGAGAGTATTCTTTCTGTCAAACCTGCATTTATTGGTGTGTGTATGCATGCACATGAACTTCTCAAAGAAAACGTGTTAAAGAAAGAGCAGAGATAACTGGGATGTACCTCTCTGAAGTAGAATTCAGCCAGGAGATTGGCTTAACAACATAATTGCCACAGATAATACCACAGACCATGTGACCTGTGGTCTTGGATATATTAATGTATTTGTGTTTCTTAAACCACAGTGACCTTCAAGCTCTATGCTAGGAATGAGCTTAAACTTACTCAGAAGAACGTCACCCATCACTGATGTGATTTCCAGAAGTATGAAGGGTTTTTCCTTTTATCTGGAGGTCTTCTGCAAAGCAAAAGTCAGGTTGGCACAGCTCCTATTGCGATAATGGTAGTTACCACTGCCTCTGAGAAAAAAGCCAGTGAGCTGCGTCCTTTGTAAAATTGATCATTTTGGAGTCCTAGAGAGAAATGTGCCCTGGTTGTTGGCAGAGAATTAACTTTGAATACCTGAACCTTACCAGTTAGGCTGAAAATTAAAGAAACTGCTTATGAAAACTGTCTCGATCTCGGTGTGAGGCCCAATGGCATTATGACGCCTAAGTCATTTTTAAGAACATAAATTGAGCTCTCAAAAATAAGCTGTTGACAATGCAGCAGCTGAAGTGCCCTGCGACCCAGTACTTTTGTACTGCTACGTTGAGTTTATTTCTCAACAAAAGACCATTTGCTCAAACTGTAAGTTACAGGATATGGGGTGAGTTTGCACTTTTGGATTTTCTGCCTCGTCCTTTCTCCTCAGAATCACAGAATGGTCAGGGTTGGATGGGACCTCTGGAGATCATCTAGTCCAACCCCCCTGCCAGAGCAGGGTCACCAACAGCAGGGTGCACAGGACGGTGTCCAGTCAGGTTTTTGAATGTCTCCAGAGTGGGAGACTCCACCACGTCTCTGGGCAGCCTGTGCCAGTGCTCGGCCACCCTCAAAGTAAAGAAATCCCTCCTCATGTTCAGATGGAGCTTCCTATGTTCAAGTTTGTGCCTGTTACCTCTTGTTCTATCACTGGGCACCACTGAAAAAAGACTGGTCCCATCCCCCTGGCACCCTCCCTTTAAGTATTTATAAGCATTGATAAGATCCCCCCTCAGCCTTCTTTTCTCCAGACTAAAGAGACGCGAGTACCTCAGCCTTTCCTCATAAGAAAGATGCTCCAACCCCCTAATCATCTTAGTAGCCTTTTGCTGGACCCTCTCCAGCAGTTCCCTGTCCTTGAACCGGAGAGCCCAGAACTGGACACAAGACTCCAGATGCGCCTCACCAGGGCAGAGTAGAGGGGGAGGACAACCTCCCTCGAAGGAGCTGCCGCCCTTGAGTCAGAAGAGCTCTCAGAAACTCCTCATTAAGACACAAGGACCATGAAAACTACTGGGTACCCTTTCCTTGCCCTGCGATGGAACTGGAGGGACAGCCCAAGGTGTGAGATGAGCACGGGGGCTTCAAAAATAACAATTGCGAACGCGGGTGCCTCGGCTCTGCGCCCCCACCCCAGCACCGCGCAGACCCTTACTGCCACCGCGGGGCCGGGGCCGGGGGGGAGCGCGGCGTGATCCCGCCAACGCGGAGCTGAACG